GGGCCCGAGCGCTGACGGGTGGTTGTCTCTTGATCCGTAGCTGATGCGCAAGAGGCACGTCCTCTCCCGTCTCCAAGACGCCCTGGCCGAGCAGGCGCTGCCGGTCATCCAGCTGCTGGCACCCGACGAGAGGGTCTGCCTTCATTTGATAGAAACTCTCTTTGGTAAGAGCTCTGCTGTGGCCTCACGCAGCAGCAGGGAGAATGCTAAAACCTTTGTGAATAGGTGTGTACGTGCGAAGCTTCTCCACATTTAGAAGCAAAAAAATGCTCCAACCGCAACCCAAGAGAATATTGAGGGACCTGATTCTGTACTTCGGCTGTTCTGTGTTAGGTGTGTTATGAACTTCCTGTGGAAATCTGCCTGGCACTTGATTTAGAATAGGGTAATAAATGTCCGTCTTCCCCAAGGAGCAGGGTTGGCATGTTCTTGCAGTTTTCTGAAGCATCCTGATGCTATCTATAGAGTCTTTCTGAAGAACAGAGGGAGTGTCTGGTGTAGGGCTCTTCCCTGAATGTCCTCCATTGTGGTCTTGTGCCTCAGTGCTTTCTCCTCTTGCTGAGCTGTAGATTACATGAAGATTCACACAGAAACGAAAGTGTGAGCTTAAAAGGGTGTTGCAGGATTTAATATCAAATTAAATGCAAAATATAAACCTACATAGTGATTTTTTTTGGTCACAGCATCACTTCATGTCTGTAGCAATCCTTGTAGCCACAGGACTGCAATAGCTGCTTCCTTCTGCTGGGTCAGCCTCGCAGCAGAACAGCATTCAGCGGGATGCCAGAAAGTGCCTTTCCAGTAACGGTCTCTGTGAGCTTGAACGTCTCCTGCTGGTTTCTGTTTGCATAGCAGTGCTGTGGGAAAGGTCTTTGAAACGTTAAGTAAAATCTTGGTGGAGAAGAAATAATAGTCTAAGTAAGGAGGAAGGGAAAGGTGGAGGGTATGAATGCGAGTGCCTTCAAAGAGCAAATATACTGGATTCCTTTAATTCCACGATCTCATTTGTGCATCACAGCTAATTCTTACTATTCGGGGAAAGTGACTTACAAGCCCCTTGTCCTGCCTTGATGCACTGAATAACTCAAACAATGTTTTCCTGGTTGATTTCTCAGCACAAAATGGGCTGTGCATGTTTTGGAAGCAGCATTGTTAGAAATAGAACTTTGTGCAGGTTTAGTTCTACCTGTTGCACAAATTCTGATTGAGTGCTGTCTGTGCACATAATCCTACACAGATATGGAGGGCTTATGGCCAATTCAATCCTACGCTGTATGACCCTAACACAAAATACCTCAGAAGCTGTGCTTGCATTTCAATCCTCTTGTTTGCTTTTAAATATTAATTCTCTCTCTCTTTGAGAAGCTTTACAATTGGATGGTTTAGGGACAGCTTTGGGATTTTGCTGTGCTTGGTGTAACTCCTAGGGCAGTTGGAATCCCAGTAAGCCTGGGGCTACAAACAGTGACATGTACATTTTAGACAGGGACAAATTGAGCCAAGGATCATTTGGTGCAAGAGTGTAAGAGGTACCCTCAAAGGTTCTACCAGTGCTGTGGAGGAAGTACTAATAGTACATTCAGGAAAATACATTTGTTTCTGGAGAGAGAATATTGGGATAAGCACAGGCAGAAGAAAGAGGGTTGAGAGAGCAGAGGTGTAGTGTGGAGTGTTACATATGAGAAGATGGTGAATTTCAGGTAAGCCTAAATTTCATGCAGTTGATATTGCAATGTTCACTAATGCTGCATGCAAATCCTTTCCAGAGTGTAAGGGAGTTACTGAGGACAGGGCAGATGAGATGGAATAAGTAATTTCTTCATCTGTAGTGTTATAACATTGCTTTAGTTGGTCAAATTTGTGAGAGGTCATGGGGCCTCCGGGGGGGAAGTAATTTGATTGGATATGTTGAAACAAGTGGTTTAGTGGAGCAAAAGTGGGGGTCTGAACCAGATGCCTGATGCTGTAGGTACCTGAAGTTGGAAGGAGTTGGGAGGTAGAGTTTCTCACCAGTTGTGGTGTAGTAGAGTGAGACAGTGGCTTGTTTTAATATATCCAATTTTATTCTCTTTTCATACAAAGGACTTGTGGTGCCTTCACGTTCAATTTAACATTGGAATAGTTTCCATGTGCTTTAAACCTGATGTTCAAATTTGGTCTCAGGATTTTCAGTGCTGTGGAGGGAGAAGACTGTGCATGGCAATACATATGAATTGAAGATTGAAAGGAAAACTCACAGCTGGCCTCAAACTTCTGTCATTCTGGAGTGTTGTTTCACATGTATGATAGTGGATACGTGCAGTGAGACGTGGCGATGGTAGTAGCAGTTACATATTTACTTAGATAGGTGGAGCCATTGACTTCAACTCTAAAGTACATAAAAAATTAGCAAGGGAACTGAATGCCTTCATGCCCGTGTGTCTCTGAGAGTATCCACCTTCCTCTGACAAAGTCAGGCTGGTGTCACGTGAAGTGGGGAAAACAAAATAGTTCTAAAAACAGTCTGCAGCAATCTTTTTACAAGAAGGCATTATGGCACCGATGATAAAAATCCCTGACTGATTGTGGCTTATCTTTTAGGGATGTTGCATACTGTGGAAGACAGCAGTGCCCTGGACCTGTCCGTAGAAGGTGAGAGGCAGATGCCACATCTCAGTTACTGACAGTTTGTGAAGGAAGGCTCTGTTTTGTCTAATAATTATGGTGAGATGCTCAGCTTATGTACAGCTTGAACTGGGGAGAGCATCTATTTTCTATCAATGCAGCAGTGATGAACAGACTGTTCCAGAGGAGTGCATGCACATTTAAATACTTAGTATTTGTCTTGCAAAGCTGTGTGTGTGCCATGAATTTAATGTCACATGGGTAACAGTGGTAAATGATGCTTCATCTTTGGACCTAACCGAAGTCTCAATTCAAATGGAAGTCTTCCTGTAGGCTTCAGTGAGCTTTGGGATCTACTGCTTTCTCTTGGGATTTAGCTGTACAGGCTGCAGATCTCCTCTTTGTGAGCAGTCCTTCATTTGAAATCTGATGGAAACACCTGCAGGGTTGACAGAGGAATCTCTGCAGTCCAGTTTAACCTTGGGTATCTCTGCTGAGTCTAGTGATATTAGCAATGCAGGGATTACTCCTTTCATCTTTCCTACCTGGACAGGAGGCTCCTTCCTTCCAGAGGGGTTTCAGTTTTCAGGAACTTGCTTGAAATGGTACAGAAAAGATGAGAAGTCTTTCTGTCATGTTACGAATCTGTTGAGAGGTGGATGCTCTCAAACAGAGGAGTTATAACTTACTGTTAGCTAACTCTTGGAAGTTTTCAGAGATTCTGAGAATTCAGGGCAAGAAAGAGCCAATAAACCATATATAAATCACTTGTCAAGACATGCCTCTGCTGAGATGCATAGCTCTTCAGTTAAAGTAGGTCTTCTAGATAAACCTCCAGTATTGCCCTGGAGACATCAAGACATATCGAACCCTCTATTATTTCTTTTTATGATGCTTTCCTAGAATACAAAACAAGAGTGTGTTTTTCAAATGAGTCATGCCATGACAGCAAGATACATCCAAGAAAGCCTTACCAAATCCTATGGAACAACGTTCTGCATGGTGTCTCAGTAAGGGGCCTATTGTCAAAACTTTATCTGCTGAAC